AGCAGACAAGAAGTGATAGTTCCAAATTACCTCCAGGTTATTCTTCACCAAAAGGCCAGCAAGAACAAGTTGATGATTTGCAGCACGACATCAAGCGTGTAGCGTATCATAAATCATACCTTTCAGCCTTGGCTCGAGCAATCAGGTGATTCTTCCTCCTCTGATTTATTTGTTCACAGAGTTCTGGTGTAGTTTTTTTGTTGGCAGGCAGAAAATGCAGGAGTTGAGTTTTACTGTTTGATCCTGCATTAATCTAAATATGGTCGATTCCTGTCCCATGATACGACAATAGCTTTGCTTTTCTTTCTTTGGTTCCAATTAGAAGCCATGATATGCATCTTTTCTTGGAACGAGGCAGAATGACATTTCTAAGGCTTCACCTTTATAGCGATCATTAGCAGCCATGCAATTCTCTCACTTGCATTTGGAATGAGAGATGGCTTCTTCTATTGTAGAAATGGAGCTGATGTGCGCGGCTATTTCATATGGAGTTTGATAGACAATTTCGAGTGGACAGATGGTTATGACATAAAATTTGGGCTTTATGCCGTAGATCGCGTCACGATGGATCGAATTCCGAAGTCCTCTGCTAAATGGTATCGAGATTTCCTCCACAACATTAGCTTCAATCATCAGGAGCCAAGAATTGCAATTCCATTTAGTAGTGCCGCCGATGGCTTTCTGCCCAATATAAAGAATGGTACTGCAGAAATGGCATGATTCCATCTTTGGAGTCATCTTCGCCAGTATCCTTTTATCTGATGCTGAGCTTACGGTTGTTCTGAGTTCATGTTCCTTCCTTAATTAAACTGATTTCTATAATCTTAGCATTAAATTTATGTCAAGAAAAAAAAAAAAGGAACGAAACAGGATATAAGCGAATTCTGGACGTATGATACATATATAAAATTTATATTCGAGATTTAAGTTTTGCACGTGCGCGTTGTTAATATATATATATATATATATATATATATATATATATATATATATGCTGTCAATTATTTCTCCAGTCTTGATGAGGTACCGGACGCGCTTTCCATTGTCTAAGGTTTATGACCTACGCGGCTCGCTACATTTTGTTCCTTAGAATATAGCATCACGTTTGAACTGTGAATGGGTGCTTCTATCTGAAACCATCCAGCCCCAGACGTAAAATTATCAAAGAAATGTTAACTGGGAAGTGCGGAAAAGTTTATCATTCATGAAACGAATCTGAATTACAGAAAATATTAACTACCTCCCTAGTAGTATGACATGAACATCTTTACAGTGGAAAGAAATCCAACAAGCAGAATAGATGGGTGTATGGACAAATATTACAAGTATTGATTACCTTTATAATTTGACCTGGTTCATCCTCCCCCTACTCTTCACATGCTTGGTCTTCAAGTTGATTTCTCTCACTTTAATGTACTGTTATGCTTAAATATCTCAGATTTCTCCAGTTTTACCTTTGTCGTCAGCATATGACTTTTACTGTATCTCCGACCTTAACATGCATCTTATGTAGCACCGGAAGGCTGTTTCGCTTGCAATCTTTGCGCTCCCATCGCTTGAGCTGGGCATAAAAAAAAAGGGCAAAAAACCATGAATAAACGATACAATAACCCTCTTCTTTGCTGAATTGCCTAAAATACAATAAGTCTCTATTTCTTGTCAGTCCTAATGGACACCCATTTTAGTATGTGCCATACAATAGATCCTGCTCAATCACCATCAGTTAACTGAAGCAATTTCAAAAGCCTCAGATGTTCAAATAGAAGACCCTCCCGTTCATCAGAAAGAGGAAACAGGTAGAACACTGAGCAGCAGTTTAAATGTTGTAATACTTCAAACGTAGGTCCAATGCAGTCAGTTTAACAAAGCAAATATCCTGCATTCATCCTCACAAAACATTTCCTAAGAATAATGGTGATTTCACATGCCATTCCTACTATTTAGTTTAATATTAAGCTTTCTGAGCTCACAATGAAGCTCTCGATATCAGGATAGTCAAGATGAAAGTTTTTTGATTAATGAGAAATGCATTCTAGATATTTTGAACAGAGTCTGCAGCATTGTGTTCTGTTTTTTCAGTTTGTACTTTGCCATCTGCACATCAAGCTTTGTCTATGTTGATTAGCAAAGATAGAAAGAACATAAATTCTGAAAATGAGCTTGATAAATTGATAAATAGCTAACCTTTGCTGAAATAGAACAGGGATTCTCTGTGGGCACAACCTGCATCACATAAAAGAAAAAGGCACTAATGCAGGGATGCGATTTTAAATTCCAGCATTAAGGGGGGAAGGGTTAGGTCGGGTGGTAAGGGCAGATTATAAGTAGAAGGCCCTAGGTTCAAGACCTCCCACTTACAAAAAAAAAAATTTTTTAATTAAAAATAAAAAAAAAAATCCAGCATTCAAAGTGAAGTAAACAACAACTTTATAAGAGAACAGCAACTGAAGACAACTACTGTTGTAGAAAAACAAGAACCAGTACTATAATGCAGGGTACTCCATACATGCAGGGTTCTGAGATCTGATATTCTAAGCATTAAACGATACCAAGTTACTAATCGTTTCTAATTGCGCTACTGCAAGTTCAAATAAATCCACAGGCATTGGGAACTCGGAAGACTATACGTCCCCTTAAGACAAGTCTTATAGAAACTAATGAAATGCAGTTTTTTTTTTTTTTTATTTCTTGTGATGATGATAAGACGACTTTTCCAGAAAGACTTTACACAAAAATTGGAAGACGAAATCAAGGCAACCATTTTCCGTCTTGATTTTGAAAACACAGATTAGAGATCAATAGCCAAAAAGAGTTTCACTTAAAACAGAAGACATATCATAAATTTCTCCATATAGGAAAACTTTTCAACACATGTAACCAGAAAATTGGGAAAATAAAGTTATGCACATGAAGCAGCAAGCTGCTACTCCCATAATGCACATATCTCCTCCCCTTTCTAGATACAACAAAATATTACTCTGCTTCAGCCAAATGAATAGAAGAATTTCCTCCCCTCTTCTAAGATATAAAAACATAGTGACTAATTTACAGGAAATAATATATTGAACTTTTCTTTTAGCCACAAAATGTTTCAAATGCTCCAAACATTCTTGATCCCAATTAAGAGCAACAAAGTATTCCTCACATAATGACGAAGAAAGATATGTCTGAAACAGAAAAGCCTAAAGCTTTATGAAGCAAAACAATCCTCAAGAAGGAAAGAAAGAAAAATAAAAGCCCCCAATGAATATTAACCACTACCACTCAAGAAAGTACAAGAAATAAATCCATATTCTCCAAGAACTTCAAGCAGTATTCGATGGAGCTGAATTAGCAGTTCTTTCATTTATGAACATGAAACAAAGATTAGGGAAATGAATGGGGCGGCGTACTTGAGGTGGGCAGAGAGGGACGGAGAAGCGTTGGCCGAGAAAACTGTTGGAGGAGAGAGAAAGAGAAGTGAAGGAGCTCTGTAGAGCTGCCATGGCTCTTCGCAGCTGCAGACTAACAGGGGAACAAAGAAGTAGAAGGAACAAGATAGAGTGCTACTCCAATCTAGCTGAATTTTGTGGATTAATCAATCCGACCCGTATGGCCTGACCTTTTCAACCCGACCCGGAATTAATCTCTTAAAGGTATTTTTAAAACTTTCTACTTGTTTATCTCTCTCTCTCTCTCTCTCTTTCTTATGGTTTTATTTCTTTTTTGAAAATTTGATTTCACTTTTACCATAGGGAGAAGAGGATAACTAAAGTGAAATTTGATAAGTTGATTTTTTAATTATTGAGAATTTGGGAATTGATTTCGACATTTCAAATTCATAACCCAAATTTTTGCCTCATTATCAAACATTTTTTATTAATTTCTCTCCAAATTTTCAGAAAAAACATTTTGTTAAGTCCCCAATTTGTTGCCATTCACCATTCCTTGTTCTTCACCACCCTCCCAAAGAAAAAAAAATCTTTAGAACTTATACTTCCTACACTCGTGAAGATGAGCACACTTTCTTTTCTTTTCGTATCTACCCCCAAATTATGTGCCTTTTTCCTTTTTACGAAGGTAATTTATCAATTTACTATTATAATCATATTTAAGGCCCGTTCGTTTAAGGTTGTAATAGTTTATTTAAAAATACTTTTTTAGTAGATTTTTTAATAAAAGTACTTATTAACTACTTAAGTATTTTTAAATTAAATATATTGTTTGGAAACATAATTCAATAAGTATTTATTGCATTGGATAATGTAAAATTTAAAATTTTTTAAAAGTGTTTATCTCTTTATTTGGTTCATAATATAGGATAAAATGATTACTTTATTTTTTTTAAATCACAAAATCTACTTTAAAAGCACCAAATTTGAGTTTCTGCTAAGAGTACTTTAACACCAAAAACTCTACACATAATTTTATGAGATGATATTCACCAAACACTTTAAAAGTACTTTTAACACTTAAAAATGCTTTTTTACCAAAAAGCACAACAACCCTAAACGGGGCTTAATGTGTATCTTTATCAACAAATATGTTACTCTACTAATTCAATTATTTTAATAGGAGTTATCAATACAATTCTAAAACTAAATATTAATAGAAGGGTACATGAGGTGAGTATTAAACCAAAAAAAAATTGCATTAAACATAACTTGCCCTTCTTAATATGTACTACTATAACAAAAGAAGTAGGCCTAGACTACTAGTACAAGAGAAATTTTTCTTGTTTGCTTGTTTGGTGGATAACTGTGCACGCTCAACCGAGGTTTACTCCCTTCTCGAACACAGCAACTATCCAAAGAGACAGAAAACAGTGGGAAGAGAGACTAAAACCAATACAGCAATTAAAGAAACATGAAAGGAGACCAAATTCCCTCCCAATGGGAAAATTGCTCCAAGTGCTCTCCATTTCCATCACAACTGTCTAAGAAAGTTAAATGCATGCCTAACTTTTTCCTTCTTTTTCTTTTTGTTCAATCTTCTACACAGATGTACAAAAATTTGGGAAGGAAGAAGCGAAAGATGGGGCTGTTATGTTACAGTGAAATCACAAGTCAAGAGAGGACTCGTCCATTCCTATCTATCAAACACATACTTTACAGGTCAAAACAAACGGGAAAAAAAAACCACCATAAAAAGGTGTCGGCTACACTTCACAGGAGTCAGCGGTGCTCTCCACAGATTCCATGCGCCGATGTCCAGACATAGGACTTCGATGGGTTGATTGATCAATGTTGATTGTAACCTCATCTGCTGTAGCAGACAAAGATTTCTTGTGATGCTTCCTCTGATTTCTCAACTTGATAACCCGTGACAGTACCTGTACAATGTCCCTCATGGAGGGCCGTTTTTTAGGAGCGCGATTTACACATTTGAATCCCAGAGTTGCCACGTCATTCAGCTCTTGCAAATCATATTTCCCATCAAGACGAGAATCAACAATTTCTTCCCAACCAACATTTCCTTCAGTATTCATAGCCGCCTATTACCAATAGGTTCACTTTTTCAGAAAAAGGAAGTTTATGCAGGAAGGGAGCTAAATTGAAGTTACATCTACGAGCATGGTAGAGCAGATGTATGGATAATGAGAATTGTGCTTGTATAGAGGATAATAGAGCATCGTTAATATGGCAAAGCCATAGTGTCCAGTATTCTGCACTATTGCATCAATCACAATGGACGATTAATATCTTCAGGAACAAGACAATTTGGTCATAAGCAATTCATCCAGTTCCTCTAGAAGCTACTTATGTCTACAATTAGCACTTCATATATTTGCTCCCTTTTGCTTTGATTAGATTGTGTTTCATATGCTAAAAGAAAGGCAGAAACAACTTACTAGTTCCACATATTCCATTAGTCCTTGAAGCGGATTTCTTCCTGCAACAAGTTCAAATAGCAGCACGCCATAACTATAAACATCGCTTTTCTTAGTAAAGGCCCTTGTTGATATATATTCAGGGTCAAGATATCCAAAAGTTCCCCGAATATTTGACACGTGCTTGCTGACCATTTCTTCCCTTGAAAGCCCAAAATCAGCCACCTGTTAAAACAGCACATCCGTAGTTAATATAAGCCCCAACAGCGACGTGCAAGAACAAGAATGTTCCAACTCCTGCTGAACAATGCAAGAAAATGACGATACAAAAAGCGAAGCTACATAAATGCTGCTGATAGCTAACCATAGAATCAAGAAAATTAGAAATACGTACCCTTGCCCTCATGGACTCATCCAACAGAATATTGGAAGATTTAATGTCACGGTGTATCACAGGAGGAACTGCCTGCAAATAATATGTCAATAACCCAGAAAGGAAATCCATAACCTCCACAAATGCATCAGCATAAAAAGGATTTTGCTAAGTATAACTATGGCAAAGAATCAAATGCAACAAAAATAACAGCTCACCCCATCATGTAGATACTCCAAGCCCCTTGCAACATCCAGCGCAATTTGAACCCTCAACTCCCAGCTCAAAGGTTCAAGCTCTTCACCTGCCACAACAAAATAGTAAGCATTCATGCAATCCTTTGATGACTAATATAATAAGATTAACCGGAAATTGGTTTCTCTAATTTGCAAAAGATAGCTCGTTTAACTTTAAGGACTTGATAACAAGCTAAAAGTTATATGCTGCTTGTCCAGAAATACAACTGAGAGGGATTTGGTGGCTTTTTTACTTAATAAAGTTTCACTTGCCTGCTCTAATCTAAAATAAGTTTCATAACCACAAGATTGGCAATTTCTCTAGGTTTAGAGCTTTAATATTGAAATTCTAACTAAACAGGCTGCATATAGCAAGAAAAGCTGTCATGTCAGTCTTTGACAAATGCATTCCCTACCTAAAGATCATAAACTTTCCTCCTTCATGGGCAGAAATTTGAGCCGTGTTCTATGTTACAATCCAAAATTGTGCACTAAATTTGTAATTTCAGTGTTTCATTGAGCATAAAGTGCTTTTAACTGCTGGATAATGGAATAGCTCAAGATGGCTTGTGATTAAGGATGATAAACTACATAGACACATAGTTTCCCCACTTATGTAGAAATGATGCATCTATATATCGCTCACTTAATCATAAGGCCATCCATTTACGTGGAGAAATATCTAGTGTAGGAAAACTTTTGGCTCGTTGGATCAGAGGTTCATATTCCTGCTTTATCCTGTTATACGTATTTCACGAATCTAATGAGCTATTTTAGGCATATCTAGAATTAGAAACTTACTGTACAAATGAGAGCCAAACAGCCTCTACTCATGTATACATAGATAAGCATACGCTGGCCCTTTTCTGCACAATAGCCAACCAAATTTACAAGATTCCTGTGATGTAACCTTCCAAGTAACATAACCTGACAATGAAGATGTAGTAGAATTAACATTTAGATACATGGAAAACAGAGCAAAGGAGTTGATCAACTCCATATACGTCAGGAAGAACTAGAAATTTGCTCTGGGATGCAAGATGCCTTTTCATCACACAGTCGCAATAAATATTACAAACTTCAGAAGCTCGGTCTATTTAACAGATCCCAATGGTGATACCCAACTTAATGATTATATGTACAAGAAAAAACAAACCTATTTTGCTCCAGAACAGATACAAATAGGAAAAGGAGAAAGAATGCTTAATAGAAAAATCGCACGCAATTTCAACTCATTAATATATGGTAGGTTGCTGAGTTGGATATATCTACATTTTGCAAAGTGGACTATTTATCTTTCAGCCATGGGGACTTCTTCAATATTTATGTCTTTTTGCTTTTTTAAGGTAATAATTAATTGCCTTCCTTTTTCACTTCCTCGCTTATAGTAACGTTCAATCAATTTATTAATTTTCACCTTAGACATATTCGTATCAGTTATGCCTTACTAAATCTTTTTATCAATCAACTTATAATTTTTTTTAAAATCTTTCAGCAAATTTTTTCCCATTCAAGTAACAGGTTCAAGAACTAATTACTTTCTAAAAGCAACCAATCACGTTTTAATTACTTTTGTTACTAACATTTTAGCCAACTGGTTTCAATATCAGCCTCACTAGTTTAAAATTTTCACAATTCAAAGCTGCCTGATGACTTGCTCATGACAGGTCTCAACTGCATGGGAGCACACATAAGGTATGCATATAGAAACAAGTAAATGGTTATAGGGCTTCAGCCAGCAATTTAGGTTGCAATCAATAATACCTCAGCATGGAATTCTTTCTCGCCTTGCTTAGAATCAGTTGCGAGTACCTTAACAGCAACAGTCTCACCAGTTAACATCTGAGCTTTATAAACAGGACCAAACCCCTTGTCCAATTAACGTTGTAAAATTGACAGTTGCTTTCTGGAGATCCCTGATTGTACATCAAGAAAAACAAGACTAAGAAGCTGCGTGCTGAAGTGTAAAGCACTACACTGACATAAATATATACAACTTCTAGCACATACTTTGGAGCCCTCTGCCAAATTAGAATTTTAAGAGAGTTGATAATAACTTAGATGTGGTTTTGATTCTTTGGCACAACCCCATGAACTTTAAAGTCAGTTATTATAGTAAGTGTTACTTCTGCCTGCATTAAAAAAATTCCCAATATCTAAACAAAAGTCACCAAGCATACGATGAAACACTCTGAACTTTTATCTAAAAATCACGTACTTGTAAGAGTACTCCAGAATACCAGATGCAGAAATGATATTAGCCTTCTTGAGTCCTCCAAGCCAGAAGGAAATGCCATTATTTATACTAGTCTTTGGAGACTCTGTACCAACCGATGAATCTGATAATGCTGTGCAAGAATCAATACCATTTTGACGAATTGGGATCGTTGCTGCCCTTCTAGAACTGCTATTACCTATCTGTGATCGTTTCCTGTGGTACAAAAAGCAGAAAAATCCACCTATAGCCAAAAGCACTCCAATCACCACCCTATCGAAATCCCAATGATTAACCCAGACGACTCGGCTTTCATCTCTTTGCTCGTTCTAATATATCCTACCTAAGATTTTTTCCATCGACCCACCTGTTAAAATAAAATAAACTAATAAAAATCCAAATACTAATCAGCTTTGAAAATGATTCTGAAGACCCCAGAGAGAGTTCATCTAAATCAGAGATGTTATCAAAAAGTCCATAAACAGTTGATTCTTATATCTAGAGTGATTTTAAAAAAAAAAAAACAGAAAAAATTGATATTGACAAAAGAAAAACAAAAGCAAGCCATTCCACTAAAATAGGGTGGAATGCTTTTATATGTGTTTAATGTATGTAGTCAGGCTGTAAATAGTACAATACTGGAGAAGGAAAAGTCTAATTCAACAACTAAAACGACGACATACAGGAGGGAAATGCAAAGCAGCAAAAGCAGACTACAGTATGAAGATTTGGTCAACTTTCCAAATCCTACATCATTGCATTACATGGGATTTAGAGATAGTGAAAATTAAATCCAGAACCCAGAAAAACAAACATCTAGCAAAAAAAAAAAAAAACCCACACAAATTTTGTTTGAAAAAAAAAAAACTTCAATAAACATATAGCAGAGCATACATAAATAAAATGCTTCCCATTTTCTTTTCCATAATTTTAAGCACCCAGAAAAGAAATTACGGAAAAATAGAAATTCATCGATCAAGCAAACTAAGTTGAGATTCAAACACGGCCCAGGGGTTAAGGTCCTTGCTCCTTGTCCTGAAACAAGACATCGGTTCTCACCATCCCAAACATCCTTCCCACTCGTTCCTTCCCCACCCAGCCCCTTAAAAATAAGTGCAGATCAAAATTACAGCTGCACAAAAGCAAGAAATTAAAAACTGCCTTTTTTGCCGTAGATTTCATGCTATTACGTTTTCAAAAGAATAAGACTGCAACGGCACATTTGACGTAATGATTATACCTTTTCTCCAGTTGGTGATTATCAGCAATGAAAGTTGCAGCAGTTACTAATTAGTACTTGCTATGTTAAACAACTTCTCCAACCACCCACCACTCCAAATATTTGATTTTCTCTTTGGTTTTGTTTCTGGTAAAAAAAAAAAGAGAAAGGAAAAGACGAAAAGGGTTGAAAGAAATCGAAAACTGGATGAGAAAATGTGAAAGTTGAGGGAAGGAGAAAGGAATCTTTGCGGAGTTTTAAGAGAGAGAGAGAGAGAGAGAGAGAGGAGTTTGATCTGTTTAGGTTGGCCACTACCAGCTTTTGGAGAACGCTGAAAAATAGCTCACGTAGGATGACTTTTACTGCTCCTTGGTATTCTGAGGATTAATTTGAGTCTACTAGTATATTTTTTTTTCTAAGTGGGAGAAATCAGAAAGGAATAAATTGAAACTTGGGGGGTTTTTTCGCAACCAGAGCGTGTGTATTTGGGAATTTTTAAATTCCCGGTTTGTCGCCACGTTTACGTTTGAGAAGAAAACGCGCGTAACTTGTGATAATTTTGGTCTGACCAAATTAGCAGACAATTGAGAATACTTTTTTTTTTTTTGTTTTATCTTGATAAAGGAGAATTCTTTCTCATTCGTATGACTTTGATGATTATTACTGCTTTAAAAAAAAAAAAAAAAAGCCTCCAAGTAATTGATTTTGTAGTCAAATTAGCTGTATTTGATTATTTGACCAAGCTTATAGGTCATTGAAGAGTCGGGCTAGTTTGTGCAGAATTAACTCTCAATTATGTGAAAGCATGTGCGAGTTGATATTTTATAATTTCATGAAATTGTAATTCTAGCTCAAATTCAGTGCACATAAGTCGTTGACTGAATCAAGTTGACCCAGATTTCACCGCTGATGATCATTTTTAATTGGAATTGTCTAGGCTTTAATTTCTTAGATTTGTCATTGATCTTTACAGAATCGTGCAATTGAAAAATACGTAAAAACCTATGAACTTGAATGCTTAAAGTCTTTTGTAGCCTGCTATTTTTTGAAATTTTTATAGTAAAATGTACAGTAGCAGCAGCGATATAATACGTGTGAGGTTAAAAAAAGAAAAGGTAACTAAAAAATATGTTCGTGAAATAAAAAAAGGTAAAAATTTTTGGAGAAAATTTGCAATCCAAACAAGACTTTGAACCCGCTGTTTAAGCGGATAAATTTTTTGTTAAATGGGGTGAGAGATTGAGGTGATCTACCGCGTCCAATTCAACATGGACCAAATATTACTTATTCTTACTCGTTATAACAACACTAAACTTTTTCTTGGTACCAATAATTATCCCAAAAATCATAAATCGGGATACATGAGGTTTTCCCTTAACAGATATAATAGATGCTTTGTAAGTCCAAGTAAAAGTCTTTAAGACTTGGCATGATCAGAGATTGGTGAAGTTTTCATGTCACTCATCTGACTAACTTGTTACATGGGCATTTGTGTGCAATTGTTCACAGAGACCCGAATTCGCTCGGCCAAACAAACTGTAGTATGATAAATAAATTTTTTTTAAAAAAAAAAAAACATTGATGATGTGTAGTGTAGACAACTAAGGCAAGTCATCGAGAAATGAAATTCAATTGCAAGTGCAAAAGGAGTCAAATCGAACATTAGATGGAGCGTGTAATTATCCCCAAGTGATCAAAGATTGGAGTACAAACATGAAAGTTTTTATAAGAAACGAAAGGGAATATCGGACAGATTGTGACAATGGAAGGGGAAGGAGGTGTCTTGAAACAGGAAAGACGTATTGAAAGGGACAGTAGCGTGGAAGCGTAAAGTTCACTTTTGTTGAGCAAATGGACCTCTTTTTTTTTTCTTTTTTTTTTTTGCTTGGATTGGAATAAACTTTTCCTACTACAAATGAACAATTCAATTCAAAGAATTAGGGAGGACAAGGAAGGAAGGATGGATGGCTACCGTACCGCATTAGGACTGAGACGAAATTAATGCACAGCTATATTATTTTTTGGAGAATTCACGAGTTTCATATAATAAAATAAGAATTTACACACTAACCGTCAACTTTTCTCGCTTATCTTTCTCTACAATTCTAAGAAGATCAAGAGGAAATTTGACTCAAAAATAATTCTACGCGCAGCTACGTTATTGAATGCAGAAACAGAGAGATGTAGGTGACGCGTCCGATTACTGTGACTGGATATTACAACAGTACCTTCTCCGTTTTGCTTCAAGAATCATCACACAAAATTGGTGTTAGGTTTGATTTCACAATTCACACCTGCAATCTGAGCACTTAATTTAATACCGACAGCAAAGCAAATGCAACAGAAGTCGATAGTGTAAGGTGGGAAGAAGGGGAGATGGAAGCAGTCAATTTCAAACCTAATCCAACATAGCTTCCTCCCCTTAGTAGTACATCGTATTTCAAAGTAGGACACTTAAAATCAACAAGAAATCAAAGGTGACTGCAGTTGAAGTCCCTCCACGTTGGACCCTCTGTTGAATCTCGAATGTGATGATTCATCCACAACGGTGACACGTTGAAGATGTGAGTTCCTAATTATTTTATGGTTTAATTACTTCACTCCAAACCCGCGATTAATTCTCTATATGCGTCATTATGTATGTTTCTCATTCCAGATTGTCATAACTTCAAGTTGACTATGAGAACTATAGTTTAACCTACTACGCAATTATACTGGGAATTAATAACTTGTAAATCCATCATCACGATGTGTTTGTACTTGTACAAAAGGTTGTGTACTTAATTGCGTTGACCAGCCGGATTATGGCTTTCCTTGGTTCTTTGATATCGAAAAGAGACCGTCGATGACTTGGAATTTTCTCTTGATTTTTAAGTCTGAATGGTACTTTAACCAACAAAGTACCAAAAAGAAATGAGGAAGTCTTGTACATATTAACAGTGTATATACTGTCACCATCGTTGAATTTATGATACGTGTGCACAAGTGAGAGTTTAGATTCAAATTTTACATAATTATCATTCATTAATACTGACAGTGTATACACTACTGTCACTGTAGGAATGATTAATCCAAAAGAGATTAGATTTATCAAGATTTGAAGTTCATTGTAGAAAACAATGAACATGGGAAGCAGGTTTTTAGTGACCGCATTAGTAGTCCTATAATTACTAGAAATAAATATGGGATGATTTAATACAGTACTATATATCCTTTTCCCTCGTCCCAGATTTATATTTAACCAAAAAAAAAAACAGAAAAAGAAGAAAAGGGTTGGGCGTGAATACTCTTTTATGATCCCGGAGTATAATACGTTTTCAATCATGTTCTGTGATTCTACCACACAAGACCAACAAAAACTTAGTGGGAACGTCTAAGGACGTGAGGGGCGGCAGTCGCAATATTATACTACCATCTTAACCAGGTAGACCTGCAAGAGATTCCTTTTCTTTTTTTTTTTTCTCTCTTTCAAATATAAAGTCTGTATGGGAGGCTAAAAGTTATTTATTTATTTTTTTTCTTGTCTTCTTTTGGGCAATCAATTACGCAATCATTTCAATTAATTGACCATAAACAGAGGTCAGCCTAGTAATTTTAGACTGGTAAATTGTTGAAGTGAAATGTCAATGTGGAGTGGGGCGCCGGCACGCAGGGGAAATGAAATGTCAATTGTTGTTAACGTGCTCGCTCGGTGTGGAGTGGCCTCCTCTTTCGAGTCGCAGGGAATTAGTCCGACCTCATAAGAATTGATTCGGACATTTTTATGTATTATTGATAAAAAAAAAAAAGAAAAAAAGAAATGTCAATGTGGGGGCGCCGGCACGCAGCAGGATGTTTCGACGGGATTGGAACAGGCTGTTTCAAGAGGAGGGTACCAACCAAATTACGTAGAATAATATGAGCATTGAGAAATTCACGAGTTCAGCCGCCGCATTCAATATTTTCAATTCGGGCCACGGGTAAACCGTACACTGATAAAAGGATGGAGTGCTCCGACGGCGTTTCTTGAAGTCGTAGCCTCGTGGAGATCATTCAAATGCAACCCCCGGGGGGGGGGGGGGTTGGGGGGCGGGTTCAACCTTTTGTCTAAATAAAGTGATCATATCTTGGTTAGTTGATAGAGGAGCACACGCCGCCCAACATTTGATGAAACATCACAAAATATGCTAAGTACTATTTATTACATTAAGTTGGAAAGTAGTCCTTGTTCTACTTGATGAATTGGCGGATTATCAGGAACACAAACAGCTGAAGGTGAAATTTAGGTATTCTTTATACTAGAAGTTTTGCATTCATTATTCTTTTATCTTCGAAATTACCAAATTCCACGAAAATTGCCCTGGCACAGTGATTTTTGGATATAACAGTGGGAATGATACAAATAAATCACAACCAAACTAATCCACAAATAGTCGGAATAACCAATTCAACATCATTACAAATTAACTGGCATAAAGCGGAAAAAAAAAAAAAAAAGCTCACATTTAATGATATACTTGAGCTCCAAAATACCTAAATCTTGGGTTTTCAACTGTGACCACCAAAATAAGGTCCCATTGGATCTTTGAGGGAAATATGCTAAAAGAGTGGCGCTATTGAGTACTACTAGTGATACAGACGCACTCGATCAGATGTCAAAGGTATAATGAAGTTGATTTTGAGGTTAAAGTTGAAATTTTAAAAAGTGAAAAAAAAAAGAAGAAGAAAAGTTTACATCGAACTCAATGCTCTTGCGAGTAACAAAAAGTTGTAGGATGTTGCGAGTAATTTTATTTCAGTACCAAAATGCATGCAAAAAGCCCCAAAAGGATCACACATTAACAATGGAAAGGTACTATATCCATGTGCAGTTGTTGTCAATGCTTCTTAATGCAGCCCCCACCGGGCCGCATGGGACATCGTGGTCTGTTCACAATTGCCGCAATGTTGAGTTGAGCAGTCAAAGCAATGGCCCGGTCCAATATACCCAAGCCCAAGCAGAGCTACGGAACCTTCACTCCAAATGGCTAGTCTCATCCCATCAGTTTTCTCCTGAACTGTTGGCCCAAGTCGTCGAACAGTCACTAAAGAAGTTCCAAGTGTATCCTAAAACGTATAAAGGTTGTCTTGGGCTGAGAGTGATGAGGTTTCCGTCTCCGTCTCCGTCCTCCATTTTTGCACATGTAATAAATGTTTGTTTGTATTAACCATCGACTTACTAAAAACTCTGCCTAAAAGGTCTATCGTTGTAGCACACGAATGATGTGAAATTTGCAGCCGATCTGGCAACTTTAATAATTGAGCAAAGAAGATTTTGGCATTCGATTTCATTCGTA